GCTCCTGCAATTCAAACTTCTACGCTATGTCCGCGGAACCAGCAACAGCTAAACGAAATCTGACACCTCAAGCCCGAAACCCAACCTCCAAGGCCTAAGCCTCAGCCTTGCGACTCAAGACCCCGATCTCCCGAAAAGCCCTTGGTCCGGATCATCGACCCTCAGGTTGGCCAGGCACAAGTCAGCGTCGCTTCCTGAAGATCTTGGCGGGAACGGGCTGGCAGGGAAGGGAGACCAAAAACCCCGAGCTGAATACTACCCTAAAAGGAAGCTCAGATAAGGCATAAACTATGATGGGGCTGTCGACGGGCCCCATGTATAACGTTGACAACTCCCTGAGCACTTTTAAATGATGCTCATTTCCACAATCTAACTGATGAACAAACTTGCACCTGACACTGATCATTGCCATCACCATGCTCTTCCTTCCTTTTTCTGGCCAACACTAGCATTAAGCTCTCAACATCAGTAAGACTAAGGGACCCCACAATTTGAGAGGCTCCTTGTAACCCGTGTTAATTCGTCGATAATACCCATGTGATCCTTGATCTAAGTATCAGGAGAAAAGCCGCACCCTAAACCTGAAGTCCTTGGACCCAAATCCGAAACTCTGGACTCTTTGAACGGACGCTCTCGGTCGGGGAGTCCTGGGCCGAGGCCTGGTGGAGCCATGACAAGCTCTTAAACAAATTGCTGGCACTTTCGCCAAGTGATTCCCTTCCCCCTGGGCCGTATAAGATTTGAAAAGAAAAGAATGATACAGGGATTGCGTACAAATGGAATTGAAACATCAGGATGGCATGGGATGTTCTGGGGCTGGTATGAAAGTCCACGAGCGATTGTCAATACGTAGCATTTCGGAGAAAGTAACATGTCGATTTGAGGGCAATGTACACTTGTCATTTATATGGAGTTCCTGACAAATTTCGCAGGGGAAGGAAGGATGAGTGACACCCAAAAATCCGGCCGCGCTTTGGAATCCACCGCTGCTCAACTGTGCAACCTAAGCTAGGAAAGTTGGGCTGGCACTATCGAAGCCTTTTTGGAAAGCTACTCCAAGCCCTGAACCCACGAGAAAGCGGTGGTGCGAAGCCAGATGTGAGTCCTATCGCATGTCCTGGAGCCTACAGGCCTGCAATTCGACCAAAGCCTGCCAGGGTTGAAAGTTCAATTGGCATAAGGACGAGGATTCCCCATCCTTTGGTATTTTAGTGTTTCGAACTTTCGGGTTCAGGATCTGCTCAGGGTTACACCATGCCCAAGATGAATGGCCCGGTCATATTCTTGTGATCCTGGCAGCGTGGACAAATTATTTGGGGTTTTGGTGTTGAGATCAATGTTGGTTGCACTTAGACGTCACTGTGGTCGGGTTTGGCTATGAAGTCACCGCCATGGCATTCAAGGGCATTCGCAAGCTCTGTTGTTCCTGGAGTTCTGGTAGAAATTGTCAATTGGCTCTTCCAGAGGACGAGATTCGCAGGCAAAGTTGGAACATTGTTTGGAACCTGTCAGAGAAGCATCTTTGCACACAAGGAGCGCGTGAGAAGCGTTCTCAGATCGGGTGATGCGACCTGATACAAGATGTGGCATCATCCCTCCCCTCCCCCCCGTATGACATTCTTACCAAAAGCCCAGCCCTGAAGCACTGCGCCACTTTGTTTCGCCTTGCCCTACGCCTTTCTTAGGCGGTGATGAAGGGCTCCCAAGCACCCTGCTTTGGGATGACACTGGGGTTCACGGCATATGATGGAGTTTAGGCTACGCTAGTTGGTGACCCTCTGTTGGCTCCCCCTACGGTACATGGGTGTATGCCATTGATTACAGCAACAGGGTGATTGCAAACAAGTAAAGTTAGCTGGGTAAGTAAACCACCAAGTTCCCTCCTCTGTCTTGCTATGTCACGCAGAAAGCTACATAGTTGAGATGCGGGATGCTTAGAGAAGACAAGTACAGCAAAATAGTTATGATGCAGTTTACAACACTTTTCCTACAATTGCGGTCTTGACCATCACGAAGAACAGGATTCGGGACAGCTGTGTGGGAAGGAGGGCAGTTAGTTGGCAGCTGAACCTTTCACGACGGTACATTTTGGAGGCTGACGTGAACCTTCTAAAGAACTGCAACTGTCGTGTAAAGGTAGCCCCATCTGCAGCCACAGCATAATCCTACCCTGAACGCCGGCAAGCAGCTGATTCAATCCAGGGCTTCATGGGTCAGTCTGAGCTGTGCCACCCTAAAGCTACCCATGCACCTACATGTCAAAAGGCGAGGGAAGATATGAAACCGCAGTTCCCAGGGAACTGCGGATCTGAGCAAGTATGGGGGAGTTGACTGGATTGAGAGCCAAACCTCAAAGCCGGTTCCTCGTTGGGATCTTATCAAGGATTATTTAGGTCATACCCAATAATGATTCCGAAAGGTCCTCTTTATTTGGCTTATTTCAGCTTAGTTTGGCAGGGAAATCACGGCTCTTCCGGTGTGCATGTAATATCAACAGAGCTTACACACCCCGGTTGGTACATGCACCAAACTCCAGAGCTGTCCTCTCGCCTTCCGACCTGTTCGACTACTGTGCTGCTACCCTTTTGGGTGCAGCGCCTTGCAGAGGGTCGAAGGATCTTTGTTGCTGTCCCTTGTGCATTTTGCTATTAGAGGGGTATGCGTGGCTCTTGGGAAATATAATGGCAACTCACTACAGGAACCTATTCCGCTGTTGATCAGGAAGTCTTTCTGGTCATTGAAGCTGCAAAAACCCCATCAGGATGGGCAAGCTTTACTTGATCTCAAATTGCAGTCACGTGCCATTTCAAGGCTGTCAGCTACCTTGACTTGTTCTGATTGCCGTATCTTCTGCAATTACTATATGCACAGATCCCGCAAAAAACTTGCGCCACCTTTCCCCTGAATGCTGGGATCCCAGAGACGTATCGCACCTTTTGTAAGAGTATGCTTGCATGAACGCTTTCGACGTGGGGGAATTCGATGTATAGGGATCTGTACGGGGGTTGACTGACTTTGGTGCTTCAGGTTGCTCGGGATTGCGGCTGTAAGGCTGGGAATCTGGAGTCTTGGTCTCGCGATTTTTTGGCGCTGTGGGGGGAGTTCGAGTGTGGGGCCACAGTCTATGAACCTCAATGGTGAGAAGGAGAAGGACTACACAAATTCCGCGGAAATCATGGTTGATACTGTGAACAGTGGTTCGTAATTTAGGGCAAACCTCATACGTGGGCCCTTTGGTGGTCCTCAGTTCTTCGGCCCCTTCTGCCGCGTGTTGACCCTGGCTTTCGCTTCGATGGCGGCCAAGTGATCCAATGTGATCTTGAGCCTTGGCTCTTGAGGTGGTATAGCAGCTCAATGGGTTTGGAGTTTATGTGTAGGGTTTTTATTAATACTATGATTACTACTATTAATATTTCGTATTATCATCAGTGTATGTGAGCCCACGGGGTCGGTTACCTTGTCATACTCATCATTCAGCTTTCGAAGGTTGCACAAGGCATCTGTAGGTGAGGTCTGAGATGACAAGCAGAAGCTGGAGTTCAAACTCACGCCATGGAACCTGGGCAGCCCTACGATGCACAGTGACTGCCAAAGACCTTTGACATCAAAACCTCCAAGCTTCTCCCTGAACCGCATTTTCAGCAGCCCACCAGACCAGCTCATCTATGAAGAGCTGACATTCTGAGTCCTTTGTGGGGATACTGTAGAATCCGAACACAACCAGGGCAAGGGTCCCACAAAGCCTAACATAAGCTACTGCAGGTTGCCACTTAAGGCTCATTCCGGGCACGCGGCGTTTTAGACTACTACATGTCAAGCCACCGCTTGCTCAAGCGCTCCTCCATTTCCCGTAGCTCCACCTCGGACCTGAGGCAAGTCTTTGGCGACCCGAGCATATTTACAAATCACTCTTGATGAAAAGTCAAGTTCTTGCTGCTTCTGGTGTTGCATGTTGCCACCAGTACGTAAGGGTTGCCTTGCTGTTCTCTTGCAGCTTTCTATGACTAGCAGCACATTTCGAAACTTCGGGATTGGACAGCTGCCGGGGCTCCTGCAAGAGCACTACACCCCAAGCCGGTGCAACGAGAACCCATTAACAGCATGATTGTGGGAATGTCTCGCTGTCCACTTCTGGATGAGGTTCAGTTAGCCGCAAACAGCTTCTTTCTATCAGTGCGATGAACCAGCATGAACCAGCATGTTATCTTATATATGCTAGGAGGCTGAGAGAAGTCTCTGTAAACAACATGAAAGCTCCCAGGAATAGCATGAAGATAGCGGATAAAGAGAGGCCTGCTCGCCTGTTGTATCAGATTGCAAGGTCATAAGTTAGCTTGCTTCAGAACAGCTTGAACTCCCGCCTGCCCCAATCTGCCCCCAAATCCATCAAAATGATTCATTCCCTCGCGAAAATGTGCAAGGCTCACTTCACTGTAACTTCCTAAGTTCACAAAATGTTTGACCATTGGCACCCTTCAGTTTGACTCCAAGCCCAACACTAAGACTCCTACAAAATGGACAGTTACCCGAATGCTTGTTTTGTGCTCGAAAAGGGCTACCTATACACAAACCGTGAAAAATCTTTAGAGCCGTGGCATTTCCAGAAAAGAGAAGCAAGAAAGCAAGAGGACAAGAGTTCGAGATCTAGGCCTGACGAATAATCCTCCAGCGTCAAGGGCAGAGTTGCAGCATAGACCAAACAAGCTTGCCTAAGATTCTTTTTGACCTGCTGACCTTTTCTATTTAAGGTCCAGGGATGAGCGACACCCCCTGCATGAAGCACATGTTTGGCATGCCTAGGAGGCGGATACTTGCTTTGGGACAGTCCAATGTCAACCTGACTTTGCACTCTCCAGTGGCTCCACAGGAAGTATCATGCAGTCCTATTGCATGCCTCTTTCCAACGCACGTGATATGGATAGTGATCATAACACTATTCCTGGTGCTAGTATGGATATTCATACAGCATAGGAGACTTACTAAACTCTCTGCCAAGCATCGGTAAGGCCGAAAGCCGCTCATGGATGACCTGGGCCGATGATGTTTTTTTTTTTTTTTTTTTGTCTAGCAGAATTTGAACAAGCTGTCCGTGGTTCAAGTTGCACCCAGGTATGCAGGGCTTTTAACGCTTGCAATCTACAGAAGCCTGTTTACAGGAATGATCTGCCTCAAAGATAAGCACCCATTACATGCTTGACCATGGAACCAAAAAACTGCGATGCACGCTGGGGATTTGAGCATGCGCGGCCTGAGATCTTGAAACCTTAGCCACGCAGACTATCCGAAATCCCCGCGTCTTACTCCTACACCGCCCTCTTGTGAACACGTTCAACACCTTTCATCAACATTCTGGCCTCAAGCTTCAGTCCAGCCTTCGGCTTCTGCTTAGTGGATTTACGTCCTGTTGAAGTCGGCAACAAAGCAAGTAGTATCTGCCAGGAGGCAGGTCTGATCTTGCCGAGTTGGACATCCAAACCTCAGTCACCGAACATGAGCTTCAGCTGGGCCAGTTTTTTTCTTTTATCCACCCTCGCAGTGGGGTTGTTAG